AAAAAAAAAAAAGCAAAAGATAAAAGTGTATATTTTATTCTCAGAATATAAGCATGATTTTGAAAAATGCCGCTCATTAACACTTTCGAGGTGAATATTTAAAGCATTTCGCAGTAATTTCTGTACAAGGGCGCCTATCCTTCAATGCTAAACTGGAAGCGATTCCTCAAGTCACAGCAGGTGGCAGCTCATCGTTCTCGCCATTGTGGCGACGTTGTTACCGCGCTTACATTTGCAAAAGCCTGCTTCCAAGTATCCACTTTGCAAATGGAAGGTGAAACAAATCGATTTTCAACAAAAATACATCTACTTTCGATAATGCCGAAAGACGATACATCACATAAGATTGCAAGTGTCGAGACTCTTGTCTCGACAAATGAAACATTAGTGTCTCTGCGCGGCGATATTTTAGTATAGTTCAATTTTTGCACATTTGTGAAAAATTACAAAGCTCCCGCAACGAGATAAAAATCAATATGTATTTTTAACATATGTAGAAAATTCCAAAAAGATAAAAAAGAAAAAGATTAAAAAAAATTGTTTTATTATTTGCAATAATTTGCAGTCTAACAAAATTTTTATTGTTGTATTATTTTCAAAATGAAGAGAAAGATCTCGGATAATTGAATTTATGCAATATTGCTGCTGTTCTCTGTGATAGTGTTATCGGAATAAATGATATATTTAATGGCCGTTTAAATTAGAAATGCAACGACGCGACGTACAAGCATAGTACGAACACATCAGTCGCTTATGAATAATTGCACAACTCCAGCTATATGTCACGTTGTCTCGGTAATGAACACGTGGGAATTACTTATTGTTAGCACTAAAATGTATTTACTGAATGATTATAATAGCGTGATATTATTCGCTGCGGAAATTTTATTAATATCTATAACACAATTTTATTCCCTCGCATCGGAGGAATATCGATAGGACGCTCACGATCATTCAGATATAAAACTTTTACTGACATATAAAAATAAAACAAGAAAGTACACCTTTTATATAGATTGGATATTATTTTTTTTTTTTTATCTGCCAGCATCATATAAAAAGAATAAGTGTGTTAATTTAAAAATGTAAATATCGGTTCTTTTTTTATCCAACTTTTCTTGAAAAACGTGATTACGTATTAATAATAATGTCTGGATTATGTGCGAGACTGCGACTGCGAAACAAGTTATTTCTACGTTTTATAATGTCACGTATAATCGTCGGGTATTAGAGCGATAAATTCACGAACCGCCTCCGTAATGGAACACCAAGTTATGAGCACGATCTCTCTCGCTACAGTGTCGCGAAAGATGAAGTTGCGTCAGGAAATGCCTCGATACCTCGACGAGGCATCGGGGATTGATTGATGATAACTCGCGGACTAAATATTCACCGGTGATATCGAAAATTCCACGAATAGCCGAGAGATGAATTTCGTGCGCGTGAAAGCGATTAATGGTTATCATCCATAGCACTTGAATCGATATCATCACCAGTCGCCGCGGACTTGGTTTGAATTATTGTTAATTTTCTGCGGCAAAAACGAGCCAGATCGAAAGAATGTACGGTCGATATGAGCATTAATATTTCCATCTTAACGAGAAATACCACCGGCGGTTTTTTTCTTCCCACGAAAATGCATAAATTTATGAACTTTCGAGAATTTTCATACAAGTCGACTGATTTTTCTAGCGAAGAGGAAAATCGCTATTTCAATTATTTGACGGTTACTTGTCAGATGTTCGAAAGAACATCATTGTTGGAATTTCATCGCGAATGATGGAGTTCCGACGGAAAAATTATGCAAAGTTATATTGAACTTTGCGCAAACAGTCTTCCGTTACTAGTTTCCGTTGGCGACGTTAAAGAAGCTGTCAATAAAACGTAAAAAATGACACGTGAAATGACATTAATGTATAAACTTTTCTCTGCGTATATGAAATGTATGTATCTGTGAATATACAGTTATGCAAGAGAAAAACAGAGAAGAAAATCATATTTGTATATAAATTTGACATTAAAAAAAATATCTTTATGTGTTTTTCAAATATATAAAATAAATTGGCATCGATATTTCCTCTTCGCAACTTTTACTTGTAAGTTTGCTTTTAATTTTTATAAAAAGAATTTATTTAAATTAATTTATTTGTATATAATTTTAATATTTTTTTGATGATACGGAAAGCTCACTTTTATAAAAAAATTTTCATATAAATAGTTTTAACCACAGAAAGAAACCTAAAATATTCAAATTTTTCCAACTGCAATAATGCACGTTATACGTTTCCGCGAATTCCACATTTTATTTCAACAACTTACAAATAACAGCAAATAACAAGCGATCATTGCGTAACGTGTCAACATTGCGGGATCTATGCGTCGCGCACAATAAAACCGGCGATTTTTCACAATTTTATCTCACACTCGTATAAATTGCACAATTTGCTGGTACTAGCAAATAAAATCGCCCACTAGGAAGGAAAAAAATTCAGGATCCAGATAAATATTATCACAGTGGCTGAATAAAATACATAGTCGACGTGTGCAATTTTTTTCTCGTCGGTACAAAGCCACATTGGCAGCGCGTTATTACCTTTTTTTTTTTTCGGGCGAATGGGAAAGGGACGCAAGCAAAACTACGGGTTAAATGCGAGCCAAGTAGGCTTAAGCTTCAATTATATACCGTTTGTGGATGTGATTAAAGTTTCTCTTTCCTCTTACATCATCGCTTATATCACACAATTCGCTTTGTGTAATCGCGGAAGAAAATACATAGTGGCTTGGCCGGCAGCAAATCGATATTGTTACAGCCTTGCCTGACGTCACAGCTTTACAAACATAAGATAATACTCGTGTTGAAATATAGCTTCATCCCGCATAGCCATTCACGCTCTCGCATGCAACCGAACGCAAACGAAGCCGTATCGTCATAGACGTTGCTCTCATTTACATAAGGCGATCGAGATGAATGGAATCGTGTGCGTGCGTGCGACAGTGCGCTGTGTGTGTGTGTGTGTGTGTGTGTGTGTGTGTGTGTGTGTGTGTGTGTGTGTGTGTGTCGTATGTATGTGCACACCTGCACGCACTCATCTCTTGAAACAATAGTCCGTGAATCCGCCCGCCTCTTTGCCCGCATCAATTCGCGTTCCTCTTCTCACCATCGACTAAAGACCATCTCTGAAAGGAACGTTACACGAATACGTCGCGTCTAATTGTGTGGAAAACGGCTCGGCGAATGCGCTCGGGGCGCAACCAGGTAGCTACACCGCAAACCCCCGATGCAATTCAGTACGAGAGATGCAAGCCACATGTCGCCCGTGGCCGTTAACCATACACGAGCGGAACAGGTGCGGAATATGCATTACTGGACGGCACATACGGATCTGGTTATTTCGAAATCGCGCCCTCGGGTTAGACGAGACGTGACATTGATTAAAACGCGAAATGCACGCAGAAGTAAAAGAGAGACCGAGATCTATAAAGGCGAATTTACACCCGTTTCTGAAAAATTGCTCTCACTCGTGGGAAGACCGTCAGATGGTCGGGAATAAAGCGCGATTCGAGGTCTTTCGTTGCCACTTTTTTCATCATCACTGTCTGAAAAATACATTTAGCGCATACATATATGTATGTAGTTTTAGACTTATTTTAAGATGAAGTCTCTTCTCCTCATCTTTTTTTCGATTTGATTTGTGCATTCACGACACGATGCGCATAATTGTTTGCAGATTTCGACGTTAATCTCGCACAGAGAGCGACCGCTATGCTCGGATCGGAGTCTACGAGCGGTCGCCAGAGTCGGCCAGGCGGTAAATTTGGCGGTCGAGAGATTCGTTACCGTGGGCGAAACTATCGCGGACGACAACCCGGAGATCAAACAGGAGATGTACGAGGCATGCAAGGAGGCGAGGATTGCTGGTAAGCGCGTAAATAACAATTACGTTAAAGGTCGCAATAACATAAATAAAGGCAAACTAACAAAAGACAGAAGGACGCTTATGTTTAAATTAAAAAATTTGAAAATATGTTCTTGAAGTTGTTTTGAAGGTCGTTTTGAATCGCACTGAAAAACGCGCGACATGTGACGAAACGCGAACTCTCGATACAAGTGCATTCTCTCGCGCACGTACCTGTTACTATATTTTAATTTCAATTAAAAGTTGCGCGTTTGCGCAACAACAATGTGCAAACGTGTTCAATTACATTTCACAAAGATAAACTTGCGTCAAAACACGGCGCACTAACTATGCGCATGCATTGTGCGGTACTGGCGGTCAATGGAAAACTTCAAGAAAGTACATTATCTATCGAAGAAACAACAATGGGAAATTTCCGTAAATGGATTTTGAAATTCTGTAGCGTTCGTGATCACCGTGAGAAGAAAATTCGCGATTTTTTATTTGTATACAGCGAGCGCCGGTACGTGATTTGCAACAAGCATTATTCAACGAGGTGTGTGCGGGAGATAACGTTTACTAAATTTTAAACGCAAAAAATTTTATAATCCGATGCTGCTGAAATTGATGTAAGAACAATGCAAGGAATGCGCGCGCAAGGAGAGGATTTATTATATAATAAAACTTCCGCCTCGGTTGTAAACTTCATTACGATATTGTGTTTGTGAAGTGTTCCAGCGATTTAACGTGCAAGTTTCTGTTTTATCGGATATTCTGTCTATTTTTCTCCGTTGATATTATCCCCCGGTCTTAAGAGAGAACAAATTGTGTATTATATTTATAATACTCTTACATCAAGCTCGACAGCTTTAGTTAGTTTGCGCGAGAACAGCATTATCTCAAGTCAAATACATATTTGTTCTCTCATCAACTCTACGTTTAAAAGAATTATTTCTTATCGCGGATGAATTCGCACACACAGAGATCACGAGTACGTGAGTTAAGTTTTAACCGCGTGTTGATGCATTATTCAGTAAAAAAAAAAAAAGAAAACGTCTTACGTGAATAAAAATCCAAATACGCGTACGTGAAATCGTTGAAAATATACGGACTCTCTTGTCTCTGAACTTGACTACTGGTCGCGCGCATCCGAAAATAGTAGGTCACGCGAAAATCTGATTCGCGAAGATTTAAAGGAACACGTTACATATTCTCCGATGCAATTTTACGACCTCACACACGAAATAACGATCCGCATATCTTCTCCTCAGAATGTATCTCTACCGGTTTAACCTTGTTTTTTGTTTTACGATGGAAACGATGGAGAAATAAAAGATTCACGCGGAGATGTTACTCGTCTTGAATTACGACGCGAAAAGAGTTGCTCGCGTGGATTAAGAGCGTTCGAACGTCAGCGTCAAACGTTCTCCGCGAGATACAAATTTTCCGTTTGTCGCGTGCAACCTTGCACAGATAATCTGCCGCACGCGAGGCCCGGAAGAAAGGGGGTGGATCCGCGCGTATGCGGAGGATAAGGATAACCGTAACCTTTGCACACGTCGCTCGCTCGCCGAAAGCCTTATCGTCAGTCGCGGCAGATGATATCTTCTCGTGTCTTCACGCCAGACCGCACATTGTAGAACGACAAATCCCCCGCATAGACGCCGCACGATGTGGCGAAGTGCAGTGTGCGCGCGGTGACCCAGTTTTGCCGAACCTTGAAAGGTTTTTCGCCACTTAACACGCAAGAAAAGTCCCCGGACGTATCCTTGCCAAATAGCGGAGAAGTAATGGCCGGAATAAGGACCACAGATATTTCTTTTTCTAAGCACACCTGTTCGCGCTCTCTCGCTCTCTCTTTTTGGGAAACAATTCTATTCAAGAGAAGAAGACGACCGGTCTTCAAGGAAGCAAAATGTCCCGCGACACAAATTGGAGATCTCGGAAGACTGATTTCGGAAAGCGGAAACTGTCGACGTAAATCCAACCAAAAAGTTTAATTGAAAATGAAAAACCGACCGGTTTGTGAGATGCAAAATTGCGTCTCGTTTGTTAACAGCGTTGCATTTGATACCGGAGAACTTTATCTCTACGTGCACACAAGAGACGCTATTATTATAAGCGAGTTATTCTTCTCGCTATCATCGATCTTGTGCTTTACGGGAAAGCGGTGATATATAAATAATAAACCGCGATCTCGCGCGTCACACGTATAACACGCGGGTCAGATGAAATTTTTGTAATACATAACGGAATGTATTACATGTACTTGGTACATACAAAACCGACGTGTTCCGCGAACTTGCGATAAGATCGATAGAAGATTTCCGACTATCGTCCGACACGAAGATTCGATTATTTAAATTACTGCAACGAATTACTTGTCGGAGCACGAGAGACGTATCAATTCGCGTAGCGATAGAATGACGTCGAAAGGGCGCCGATATTGCGGCGATCGTAACGGAGTAGTCATGCAAACGTAGGGATAACCGTTGTTGTCTATCCCCGGCCTGAACAAATCGTTTCGCGTCGTATCGCGTGTAAATCAGACGCCATAAGTGTAACTAACCGCGGAGCCGCGAAGGCTATCGCGATGCCGACGGGATTCACTATGACGTGACACGCGATGAATTTGTGTGTAAATTGTGTCGGACGATTTTTCGCATGCACGAAGATCATCATCCGATCGCAGAGATTCGAGTCAAGAGTTTTACTATATGTGACCACGAAAAATCGTTATTCTTTGTCACATAAAAATAATCGTGTATAAAGAGCCGTCTACAATGGAAGTAGGCAGTATAGAGTAAGAAATAAGATTCTTGGAGTTATTTCATTTTTGTCTATACAAGTAATTATATTTCGCGTTTTTTAACACGCGTCTTTCATTGGCTGACAGTAAGGCAGTAGATAGTTTGAAGTGGGAATTACCCATTAAGTTATTCCCGTTGTTACTTCACCGAAAACTAGTTTACTCTCTACTCCTACGGTCTTACTACCTTTATTGTAGACTGGCTCTAAGAGATTCAAACAGCTCTACGCAGTAACTGTGTACACGAGAGTATCAGTTAAACACGAATAAATAATCGGGGATCAGGTGGCGAAGACGCGCGCGACAACAGCGCGTGTAAAAGCTCTTGTGCGAACGCTCGGTTATGTTCTCCTTCCTCTGAGATAACGCTATTTTCGATGCTTCGAGGAAACTTAAACTCGCGCGTCGAGAGACAGCGGAGCTGTCTCGGAGAAGAGGGAGCAAAGCGCATCTCACTGTAACGGGAAGCGACCGCTGTAAAAGATAAGTGGCGACATGCCAAATTTATGCACCGCGGGGGAAACAGCGCGCGTACGTACATACGGTGTGGATAAAGCAACGTTGCTGAGGAATAGTCTCGCTTATCTAGTTGCGAACACAAGTAGTTATTGCAGTCAGTGCCAACTTGGTGCCGCTCAAGCGTGATGACGAATGCGCACCGTCGCGTGGTATCTGGATAATAATTGCCAAAGGAATATCGCGTATTCGAGCGCTTCCAGATATATATAAATATCTAACGTGTACATGTACAAACTAAAGATAGAAGTTTATTATTCATAGTCGATTTTCGTCCTCACAACGAAAAAAAAAAAACGTTCGCTCGGTAATCAATTGAAATCGCGTTACTACGTACACACGAGAAATGAGCGCAGAAGATCGAAGTCGAGATAATTGGCAATAAAACGGTTACATGCAAATAGCGGCTGGAAATATCGTGTAGCACGAGAGCAAAAATAAATTATCAGAGAATCGAAGTATATGAAATGTGAGAGAAAGAGAGATCGAAAATTTATCAACGATGAATGAAAAAAAATTTATACAAATAAAAATCACTTGCGTTAGTATAAAAAAATTAAGCGAAGAAGAAGCGCACTGAACATCGAACTGATTTAATAGCGCGCACTGATAGGGCACCGCAGATAAACGTTTTGCTCTCCGATCTCTCCCCTTTCTCTTTAATGAATAAAGTTGGCAATTCATTAGTCGCATTGATCGTTCGTATAAGCTCTCGCGTTATCACGATTATATCGTAAAACGTTTGTTCCACGCTGTTTACTCCTCTGCAATTTGATGGTTGATGAACGCGAGACCGCCACGAGCATCACATCCGCTAATCCGCATTTATATAATGCTCTTTTCACAATGTAGAATCGGAGCGCAAAAAGATACATCGCGCATCAATTTGAGATAATTAAATCATTAATTACTGCAGTAAAATGCTCACAATTTCGTCGATCTAATAGCAGAAATTCAGAAACAAATCACAGTGTGTGTTAATATACAACCACACGCCATCGTCGTCGAAGAAAATCGCAAATTCGACGCAACTTCTGGATTAGCTTCGCTAATCACGCGAGCTTAAGCGCAACGAGTAATTGTTCTTTCAATATTATATATCGCGTGTCAGCGGGAAGTTAGGGGAGGTAGCACATAATTAAGCGATTGATAGGCATCTCAAAAATTTCTCGTCTCTCCGGTAAAACGCATAAATTTTGTACAACAATGATCGTCGTTTTTCCCCGCTTGTGCACTTTTTTATAACTGCAGCTATAAATCCATACGCGGGATATATGGCGCGTAACATTTCGACGTCGATGTCGATGAATAACGCAGAGCACAAAATGGTTCTTTTCACTCGCGTAGAGCAAGAAATAAAACCACGAATGTCAACGTTCTTGTTTCGCATATATACTCGATGCATTTTGCTCCTGTGAATCATGAAAAGCGCACTCCTGGGAGAGATACGCTTCTGCGCGTCGCGTTCGTTGCTATCTCCCAAATGCAATACACCGGATGCATACCGGGGATACTAATATCGGAGTAAGTAACGTGTGTGCCGCGTGTGTTTTTTTTTATCTCGCACGCACACAAAAATATCACGGAAATCGGAGCGAGATTTTTTTATTATTACACGAGCGGGCCGATAATCCGGTCGATAATCGAACATGTAGATTACGTGAAATCATACGGAATCATCGGCGCACTTCAACCATCGTTAAATTAGGTCAAGATCTCGGTGTACTTGGACGCGTAACACAGTCTGTATAAAACGCTGTAAGGATTCCGTATCAAGTTAGCTGATCTTACAACATTGACTATATTTTTCGATAAAAAAAATATATATGAATATTATATATACATATATATTATATATATATATATAGAAAGAGAGAAAGAGAGAGAGAGAGAGAGAGAGCGCATATGTTGTCTTATCAAAAAAAAACTTTGCACAGAACGTATAAAATGTACATATAAAATGTGTAAAGAAGATATTCTCTGTTATAATGTCTTTAATCTCGCGTTAAGTATTAAATTAAAAAAGAAAATGCTCCGCAACATAGAGATTGTAGGAAGTATGTAAATTGCGTAAGCTCAAAGAGAGCTGCTTAATGAGATTTGTAAGAAAAGAAAAATTAGAACTAGAGGCCTTACACATTTTAACTTGATGAGAAACGAGTAAAAGGTGCGTGTAATGAGAAAAGTATTCACCGAATAGAACGATGAGCGCGAATAATTTGCAGCAGTGTCTATGAGAAAAGTTTATAAATACATCGTTGAGCTGAGACGAGAGAAAGAGAGAGAATTGTCCGGGGAGATGAATTGACGAGCAGTATTTAATGAAAGCTCGCAACGATGAGAGCTCGAAAACGATGAAACATTCATGTCGTTAAGAAAGATTTGTTTTTTATAAATCGATTTTTATCACTTCACTTTAACGAATACGACATATGTGACATTTTATCATGATTACTCTACGTAAAAGGAACAGACATTATCGATGTAATAATCTATTGCTTTCTCATCGATTTTCCCGTAACAGTTTACGTTTAGGATATCGTGAGCCACTAATGGCGATGAACAATTAGTACACGGCAATAGCTTGAGGCGATATTGTGTTTCGCGCTAACTACAGCCCTCTAATTCAGGAAATAACTATTTAATGATACAGCGTGTTCTCTCGTGCTCTCCGAGTTTTCGATTGATGTCGTGTATTTTCAAACCACATTACGTGCACATGTGCATCGTTAAAAAATAAATTGTATAATATCATCCTTTCTATTTTTTTTTTATAAAATATAAAATATAAAATAAACATGTTTGACACAAATATTTTGATGTAAAAAAAAAGCTAGATAATTTTGATCAAAGCGAGTGTCAAATGTAACAAATTAATCTGATTATTCGCACTCTACAATTTACTTCTGTTTGAATTTTTGAACTGAATTAAAAATAAAAACAATTTTATATATAACTTTGGAATAAAAGCGGAAAACAGTAAATTATTTGCGTATTATTTCTATTCTATACTCAAATATAGTAAATCTACGTTTGGGTTCTCTATGCGAATCTTTTTCTTTAGTTTGTTTAAACTTCTTTAATGAATAAGTCACAGCGCGCACGTTGTTTAGGTGAGCTAGCGCACAAGTGGAGTAGCTAATTACGAGCACTCACAAGTACCCAATTACCCGTAGCCGTCGCAATTAAGTGGAATGGGCTCGGTTCATAATTAAATCGGTTACTTAAATTTTACGGTAATTCGTGAAAAAAAGAGATGTTTAATTTCAGTATTTGGCCGTAGGATTTAGTGAACGACTGAACTTGACACTTTTTAATCTCTGCAGAATGTATATCAAGTCAGAGAATCCAAACTATCACTTACGATATGTCGTTTTTTTTTGTTTTGTTTTTTAGGTTCGGCGATCGAAAAATTGTGCGAATGTGCCTTGGAGGACAGTTTGGCTGACCGAGGCTCCGTCGTGAGAGCCGCCAGATGTCTTCTGGGCTCGGTGACGAGAGTTCTTCTCCTGGCAGACATCGTCGTGGTCAATCAACTGCTTCACGCCAAGGATAAGGTCGCCCGCAGTCTCGGACGTCTCGAAAGCGTTTCGAATTTCACCGAATTCGTCAAGGCGTTCAGCCAATTCGGCGGTGAAATGGTCGAGTTGGCGCATTTAACCGGCGATCGTCAGGTGAGGCGAGACTTGTTTTTTTTTTTTTTTCGTGCCGATCGACGTGCATCCCGCGATCGTAATAACTGTTACACGTTGCCTGAACTTTTTTTTGACTGAAACGGGATTCAATTCAATGCGTGGCACGTGATTTTCAGAACGATCTCAAAGACGAGAGACGTCGCGCGCAGATGGCGGCGGCGCGTCAGGTGCTAGAAAGAAGCACCATGATGCTGCTCACATCCAGCAAGACGTGTTTGAGGCATCCCGAGTGTCCTTCAGCGAGAGAGAACAGAGACACCGTTTTTTGTCAAATGCGAAGAGCGATGGATCTGATACATTACGTCGTTAAAGACGGCGTAGTGGACTGCAGCGAATCTCAGTCTTACTCGAATTCGCAGGTAAGCTACGTTCGCATTTTCATAGATATTATACACGTCTGAGGGAACAAACGCGCTTCTCCCAAACAAAAAGACAGTGTATTAATTTATCGCAGTTATTTACTCTAAATACTGTGTGCGATATGAATTACCGCGTGAGATAATAACGAGAAAATAATTACACCGCGAACACGAACGTTTCTCGCGTCAAGCGACTTTGCCAAGAAATGCAGTAATAATCGCGCTTGCCAAATACGCTGTGTTACTTTCCAGACATTTATCCACATCTCTCCGTCTCATTGTTCTGCTGCATTGAGCACGCATATATGCTCCATATTGCGTGTGAGCGTTATCGGGGGAGAATGAAAAAGTCGTGTATGGTGAAATGGTTCCGAAAACTTTGAAAGTGTTCCAAAGAGCCTTTGTTCGCCAAATTGTGATTTACGTTACGTTCGCTAATGTGCTACTTAACCGACCTTGAACAGAAAGAGCGTTTTGCCCTTGCGAAGAAGTTGTAACGAGATATCGAAGCGAGATTCCGTATTTCCACGACTCCAGAGAAACCATAAATAATGGCGCGGTATCTGATCTGGCGTAAAATCGATAAGCAGCGGTCGAAAATGAGTAGTATACGAGACTTGTAGCGAAATGCATTCCCACGACTCTACCAATTGCGATTACACAATCGATCATTAATCAATATTATACACGACTATACTTGAACAAATCTAATAATCGCTAATAATGATTGAAATAAGATATTATTTTGTCAACATCCGTGTTTATTGCAAAATTTTGCTAATATCCGAAATATTAAAAATATCTTTTATTAAAATGTATCGAGAAAAGTATTATAAACAAACAAAAAAAAATTAACAACGACGAGGAGAGCTTACATAACAAGTTGGAAATGAAATAATGTGATAGAAAGTAGTGAAATCGACGATAAATGAAACTGCTGATTTCACGTCTAGCTCGGAACGATGGGAAATTCTTATTCGCGGGTAAGATCGTCTCGCTATGAAAAGGCGCTTAAACGACCATCGTAAAGATGATTATTTCTGCGCTAAATTGTGTGTATACCCATACTTACTACCCGTAGCTACTACGTACGCCCGATGTTTCAATGCACGCGACACTTGAATTTTGCGCCGGATTTTTTTCAACGTCAAATAAGCGGCGAGGAGCATATATGTACTGCTTATACATACATATGTACTTCCTACACGTGATTTACCATGTTTCCAAAAATCTCTCTCGATTTCTCCCGAAGAAACAAACGCGGAAAGAAGTCGGGTCATGATGAACGACCTTTACCCGTGCTAGAAAAACATATAGCCACCCTTGTATTTTACACTTAAGTACTACCCACTTTCCGCGCGACATAATCGATTCTAAAGTGATTGTAGACAACCTGGCCGAAGTGGGACGCTTCCGGAGCGTGACATCTCTTTAAAAGATTTAATAACGTTTGTCGTCGGTGTTTCCCAACATTACGAATTTGCATGAAACGTGATCGCGAATTTGCTCCCGCGCTATCGAAGTAATTCGTTAAAATTATCAAAGGCATTTAAAAAAAAAACAGTTTTAAATAATCAAGAAAAATATACTTTCCTTTAAAAAAAAAAAAAGAGGAATTATATATCGCGAAAAATATATCTTCTACGATCGCCCCGTTTTGCAGAGCCCGCAGCAGGAAGACTGGGACAGCAGTACCGTTTGCTCGGCATTGAAACACTTCGAGAGGCTCGTTGAAACAACGAGGATGACCCTGCTGAGACCGGACTGTCGCGAGACACTTACATCGGCCCTCGAAACAGTGGTCGAGAGAACACAGGATTTTACCGACAGCGCCTACACGAGCCATGAACACAGAGAAAATATTCTTTTGCTCTGTGATCGCGCGAAACTCGAGCTCAATACACTCTTGCGGATCGGTAACAGTATGGTAAGTCAATCTTTTATCTCGCCTCGCAGGAAAGTGTACAACAAAGTTCCATTAGTGTTTTAATATCGTGTAGAGAAACAAATTTCGTCAAAGAGTTATATATATCTCGCATTATGAGAAATGAGATGACATAAATCTAAACGCAGAAAAAAAAATTATGCGATTTGACGAAAATATCTTGACGTAATATCTCAAGTTGGGAATTAACAAATATAAATATAATAATTCTAAATTCGTTAAACATGATGATATGTTTTGAGTAACAAATTTGAAGTGTGAAAAATTTTGCCTAATAAGTTAAACGGTGGCAAGGTATGAAACGATAGACATCGTGTTCCGTCAGAATTACGAAGGCGGCGGGGGTTCACCTAGCTCGGAAATGGAGCAAGCGGTGGTGGGTGTCCTACGGGCAACCAGGGATCTCCGCCAGCAGCTCTGTGTAACGACGATGGAGCAGGCCGGCGATCTTGGCCAAGTGACAAAGGCCGGCCAAGAACTCGTGTCAACAATCAGAAATCTCGCGCTGGCCACTGACATCGACCGTCTGCAGGAGAGCAGCGACAGGTTCCACGAGTATATCGAACATATTCTCGAAGTAAGCTCCCAGTAGTACACATATGTTTTTGCGCGTTCACGCGTACCGCTAGAAATTTCAAACTTTCGGAAATAACGAGAGTTGCGGGAAAAAAATATCTCTCTCGCGAGATTATTCTCACAAGTACACAGTTGAGGTCGGTTTTAAAACGAGATTATTTGATTTTGCTTTTAAAACAAGATTATTGATTTTTTTATACCATTAGACACACTACGCGCAAATGATAGCGCGTCTATCCATCATATCTAGATTGTAATCAGTTACAGTACCTAATTGGATTTATTTTACATCTGGTTTTAAGTGTATTAGCTCGCGTTCATTATTCATATCTGACGCTAACGATAAATCTTCGTGACTTTGAAAATATTTACACGGTGTGTATACGTAAGTGAAGACAGAATACGTGATTGCTTTTTTATCGGTGCAGTTACCATAAAATAAAATTCTATATATGTATATAAATACGTGTATATATAAATTCTATATATATATATATATATATATATATATATGTATGTACATACATATAATTCTATATGTGTGTGTATATACAATACATATGTATATCAGTGCTGTTGCATACTATTATTTCTTCTACAGGTGTGCAAACTCTTGAGACACGTTGCACTTTCGGAATCGTTGCAAGTATCGGCCAAGTTCACGGAGATCAATTTGAGAATATATGGTCCGCAAGTCGTAACAGCCGCGCACACACTGGCCAGGCATCCCACTAGTAAGATAGCCAAGGAAAATCTCGAGGGTGAGTCATCTCAAGAGAAAGAGAGAGAGAGAGAGAGATTTTCTGATATATATTTAAATCCGGTGATAGTAACTTATAATTTACTTTTAATATTTTTGTTTTTAATATTTTGCAGTATTTACCGACATGTGGCAGTGGCTGATGAGTGACGTAACGACAGTGGCAAAAGATGTGCTAGAACTCAGTCAAAACCGGCCGGAAAAACAAGTTTACATGTCGCTGCCGCGGCCAGGAGTACGTAGCAATTGCTTCGAATACAAATAATCAATAACATCTTTGAATTTAAAAGAAGAATCTTTCTAAACAAATCGACAATACAAAAAACAATGAATAATTCATCAGTATGAATACTCTCGTTACAGAAACACGGCACGACGAGCAAGCCGCTAAAACCGGTGCGACTTGACAGCGAGGAGCAAGCGAAGATCGCCAAGGCGGGTCTCGAGATGAAGCTGATCACCTCGGAAATGGACGCCGAGACGGAGAAGTGGCAGGAGAGCGGAAGCGCTCTGGAGGAGAACAACGATATCGTGAAGCGGGCGAAGAACATGTCGTCGATGGCGTTCTCGATGTATCAGTTCACGCGGGGCGAGGGCGCGTTGAAGACCACCCAGGACCTGTTCACCCAAGCTGAGTATTTCGCCGAGGAGGCGAACAGATTGTACAAGGTTGTGAGACAATTCAGTTATCAGGTACGTGCCCGGATCGGCGAAACACGTCGGACGTAGATCGAGAGAGAGATGACACACGTTTTTTAATTGGACTGATGTTGATCTACATTATACCCTTACTTCTAATATCATTCTTTTTTACCATTTTTTATTATACGGATTCTATATTGGACTTGATTCCGAGTTTTTTCTTGATCCTCGCTATATATACATATATATATATTGGGAATCTTTTTACATTACGCTATTGAGTTTCATTTCTTCGTAAGTCGCAATGTCGAAGCTGCATCCAGTCAAAAATTTATTCGATGTATGTACGTACATTTATATGTTGATTAACGTCGCAACGTGTTCATTTATAGATCTGAACAATAACGGTTTGATCTTCGATGACAGAAAAGTTCATATGTTCATATACTATGTGAACATATAATATATACGCACACATATCGTTCATATATATATATATATCGTGAAAGACATCTCTGTCGATACGTCAATATTATCTTTAGTTGAGGAACGTTAAAGCTTAATTTCTGAAAGTTTCGAAAAGGAAAATCGATACCTAATATACTCGACAGATGAATAGACGAGAGAGAGTCGCAAAATTGTATGATATCTTGGAAGACATTAAAAGTAGCTCCAAGCGTCGATTGCCAGACCAGATTTAGCTTCGACACGCGTTATTAGCATTAGACATGTTCGAATTAACACGTTTGCTGCCCTCTTTCGAACTCCCCCTCCTAGCTAGGCCGAATATACCTAGTCTCTCACCCGAAATCTCACTTTGATCTCTCTATACTCTTCTCAAGAGAAAGAACAAAAAAAACGCTAACCTTGTAATATATTCTGTATTATACGATCCTTTTTTTTATACCCTCGCTCTTGAATGCCTTCATCCAGGTAACTTTTTCTCTCTTTACTTTAGATCCTTTTGGATTATAATAGATATCAGTCTCTCGCCTTATACGGAGATCAGTCTCTCATTGCCGCATATATAGCGCTCTCTTTGTTTCTCTCTTTCTCTCTATCTCTCTTTTTTGCGATCAATCACTGTTTTCCACTGTGTTGAGTGTTATCATTACATTTGTATATATTATCTCTGTATATGTACATAATTATTGCTATGCAGCATCACGCACGTAGATTCTCTTTTACTGATCATTATCACAAATAGCAAGTGTAAAAATACAATGATGACATGTTGTAACATATCTCATATGCTTGAGAAAAAACTAAAATTTATCATATCCCGATATAAACTAGTACTTTTTATACACGTACAACAATCACGTTCACATAGCAATTAATTATTTGTCACATTTTACATGAGATCCTCGGTGATACTACATACTATTCGATGAATGTTTTGGAAGCCGAAAATAATTTTTACCGTGTCCTCTACGTCATTTGTCATTTTATAATAACTCTGTCATAACGAACGTTCATGATTTTTGTTAGCAAATCTATTTTGTGTACGTACATTTACGACTTTTTTGTGTACGATTAGAAAGGTGTGTTTTAGATGCTACGGGAATGCTTCCGTCTATGGACGACGTCTATGTGCATTGTGGTCCCTCTCCTTCCACTATCTGGGGCATGAGTTTATGTCTCGAAATTTTTGCTAGCTTCCAATATCATTTTACGATAAAAAGTATTCGAAAAGTATTTTACCAAATAAATTCTACAACATTTTTTTATATTACACATTATACAGATATTCCAAAAAGCAAAAGTAACCTTTTTTAAATACAGATTAGCTTTTAAAAATAATATTACGATATTTTTTACACGGCATATAACGTGTCATGTAAAGACAGAATACACGTAAAAGGGAAGCTTGCAAAAATAACAAGGTCTGTACTATATTTCACTGCCACTTCACACAGTCACTCTGATATCTATCTCGAGCAACTATTTTGTTCAAGATCTTGCATTGTGTTCCATTAGGAAAGATAGACGATTTTTCTGTTAACTTTTTAGATGCAAATTTCTGAATATCTATAATTACATAATACATCATAAAGTATTTATTATTAGTCATTCAATAAAACTGCCAACAATAGAATCAAGCATTGCTTTACAGAAACTCTAAAGAAATGCTCTAAATATAAACAATAGTGACATCGCAAGGTAAACATATATTTTCAACGATTGTTTATCCGTCCTTATCATATATGGTTTTGACATTTAAAAAGAATAATATAGAATCACACGTAAACAGAGAACACTTAAGGACAATGTTACAAAAAAATCTTATTTTTACGTATAAATCTTATACATTTTTAATATTATAAATTTTGTATATATATTATATAATATAATATATCATAAAAATTATATTAATCTAAAATATAGAAATAATAATTCTTAGATGTAATATTTGAAAATCAATATCAAAACTATTTTAGAATATTAACTTGTCTTGTTGTGTTAGAACTTGTATAGATATTATTATTAGCTATATCCCTTTTTTTTTGTATTTATTTACATTCGATAAATAAAAACTCAGTACTTGTTATGTGAAGTATTTGTTTGTATTACTGAAGTATTTGTTTGTATTACAATTGATTATTTTCAAATCGTTGAAAATTAAGTGAAAAACAAATGTACCTTGCGACACGAACGGAGATATGAGTTTGTATATGATGTTACATGGATGCAGGTACCAGGTGGGCCGCACAAGAAAGAACTTCTGGAAAATTTGGATCGTGTGCCGACTTATGTTCAACAACTGCAATTCACCGTGAAGAACCCTACCGTCGGCAAGGCTGCCACTTTCACAAAAGTCGATAATGTTATACAAGAAACGAAAAATCTCATGAATGTGATCTCGAAAGTGGTCACAACGTGCTTTGTCTGCGCCACAAAGGTGAGCAAAGAAAATATCCTACACGCTCGATCGATTTATGTCTTAAGAGCAAGCATACACGCGAATTTTCTTTGCGATCAGGGTTGTCTGTATTGGATGAATTGGTACGGTCTAAAAATATAAACAGTTTTTTTTCGTGACATCTTAATAATGTGTGTTTATAAGCTAAATATTTTTTATGTATATAATTAAAAATTATTTATAATTTATATATACTGATTCGAATTGAGACGTTATAAAATTATCTCGATCGGTTCTGTGCGAGTATTTGATTTGATATTTGCTGAAAGATAGAAAATTTTACAGACACTCATTAACTTCTAATATCAGTCGCGAGGATACATATATTTGTACTTCAAGTACTCGTACAGGTTCGCAGAGTCAACAGCGCAGAATCACTAGTTCAGACTAAAAAAATCGAGTGCACCTTTCTCTCTCTTTCTCTCTCTCTATCTCCTTCCGTTCTATTCACCATCTATAGCACAATCTCGTCATGCCGCAATATACGGAACTCAGCCCGATGATGGTGCCCGGGCAGGCCGAAGAGGATTGCTTGTACCCGATTAGTCCGCAATTGTTGCCATCCACGAGTCCCTACGTGCAACCCCACCCGCTCACGTCCGCACAATTTTATAACATCCTGAAACCGCCTCCCACCCTGTCTCCCTTCAATTACGGCACCATACCGAATCCGTCCGCCGTTTCCGGGACGTCCCGGAATCCTGGTGCCTTCGTCCATCCGTCCGCACTGCCGTTCACGACGCCTGGAGCGCAGCAGCAACCGCCATACTGTCTGCAGAATCTGCAGCTCTTGCAGCTGCAGCTGCACCACGCACAGCTGCAGCACTTAAGACACGCCACGCTACCGAGATAATAGCAGGCCCTTATGTAATACGTCGTGCCGTAGCACGTGGCACGTGACACTGTCGTGAAAAAAACGTTTCACGCGCACGCACGCACGCACACGTCGAGAACACTACACGTTCTTCGCACAGGTTCGACTTTGGTTTTGTTTCTTTTATTTTGCTTTGTATAATCTTTTAATTTCCGTCAGATCACCAGCCAATATCGAATCGCCGTAATTTTGGTGTGACACTGCGCTCCAAAATTTTTATAAATTGCAATTTCAACTTGTTCGCAAGGGACCGAAGTGAAAAATAATTTCACCAAAATTACGACAATCTTTTGCCTTTTAGCTTCGCTAATGGCTTCACGGTTTTTTATTATTTTATATAGAAGAACTAACAACAGCTGACAATAGACTTTGTTTGCGGCTTTTTTGCAATCTTTCCGTTTTTTTGTCTAATTCGCATTTTGCTTCGAACTAAAGCAACACACAACGCGATCCTCCACGTCCATCCAATAACACAAACCACGTAATAATAATCGATTTGAATTAATCCATTTTTTCAGCTACCTTTACAGGAATGGCTACAATGTATCTCGTAATGAAATCTAACATATCTTTTCACTAACATCGCATACTCTAACAAAATATTTTTACAAGATAATGGAAGAAGCACTTCTTTTTGAAAATAAATTGTTTAAAAAAATATTGCATTAGATAAAAAAAATTTATCTTTTATTTCTGTCTGTCTTCTCTTTTGTCAGAGTATGTGACTTTTTTTACTTAGATCTCAAACTGACTCGCCAAATATGACGGCACGAGCGTAACAATGTCACAGCACGTGACACCTCTCTTTTTCTCGAGAACATATATATGCATATATCTAATATTTTCATTCTAATTCGAGTGCTAAGATATTTGGAGCGTAACATTAGTGCAATCGGAAGCTCGTTGAAAGTTGGAACGGAAATCCAATCACATCGAGAAACGCTGATTTATTTCTCGTGGGGTGGACTTCGAACGGAACATCTTTTTCGGCGAGCCTCCGCTTGATTCTCCACCCTATCGAGAATTCTGCAAGTCCCAAAGGGACTACGCGTCGTGTACCGTGTGTAATAACCATTGCGCTCTACGTTTTTTCAGTACAACCTGGATTTCCGAGGTCTGTCGGCGCGCGGTGCCGGCGGCTCGCCGTACAGGGGCGGAGAGGGCGGGGGAGCTGACGGCGACGGTGGCGGAGTTGGCGTCGACGGCAGCAAGACGGGCTCCGCCCCCGGCAGCGACCCGTCTGTCTGACAGTTCGGGATGGCCCGACGGGCCAAGGGGGACGCTCGCCGCACCCGGGTTTCCTTTTTACTTTTCTAGGGAGAACCTCGCCTGCCCCACCGACCATCAAAATCGTACACGTACACGTCGACGAGATGTCGCGTGCGTCAGAATTATACGGTATTCGGGGGTGGCCTCGCCTGGCCGCCGCCGTTGGCGATGTGTTGCGCGTAGTTACAGTATTCGGAACCTGCGGTTAATGTGAGTAAGCGTTCCCTCTGGACGCCCTGATGATTTGAAAAATACGAAATGGGGAGGACGGATGTAATATTTAACGCACTTCGCGAAGCTGTCAACCGAGAGCAATCGCGAAGGTGTGGTAATAATTAGTGTAAAAGGGAGATTCCTGATTGAAACGTTGGGATTTGACCGATCGCACAGTTAGCGCTCACTTCTTTCGTTTCAGTTGGGACTCGCAGTTAGTCTCAGTATTGATTAATCGCTCACAATGTGAGAGGATAAACGTATTACTTAAAATACTGCAACGGTTCGGTAATATGCTTAAATAATCGCTTGAGAATGTTAACGAAGAGAATGCTTGGCTATATATGTCGACGTGTATGTTCCTTTACATCGTTTTAGTTGTAACTTCGGGCTTCTGACGATAAGAAACGAAACTTGTCACGCTGCTACAATGGCGAGCGGATCTCATATATACATATATATATATATGTTTTTACACGAACGAAGAGAGCGGTTATGAGCTCGGGAAACATTTATTTACTATATATACAATCGCGTTCCGCCGCGCGTGGCGATCAAAGCGTGAAAAAGCGAACAATTACATCTAAGCTGGGCATAGAGCCGAAGGTGAAAGTGACGGATGAAAAATGTGCGCGTCTGTATTGTTTACGACAAATTAAATTGGCTCTCGGTTATAACTGATCCATTCACGCTTTGATCGCTTTGGCATTGCCGATGAGTTAACGATATCGCCGAGTCACAAGAGCAAGACAAAGCACGAGCAATAAATTTCATTTTCACACCTACAACAACGTGGCTAAAATGCGTTTGCATGCTTCAGCAATAACATTTTCTCAAAATGAGATTGCATCAAGCGAACGCGGCGTGTTACATTTCACTGCTGCCTGCGTTAGTTGAAGTTTCACTTTCAAGTGAACTCTATTACTACACTTGATTTTTAACGCCAGATTTTTCAAGGAACGTTCCGTAATAAACTAGCTTACATCGGCCTCGATGAATGAATTATTAAAATTTCAATTTTTACGATTACTACTCGACTTTTTTATACTCACAACACACGCAGTACGTATTGTTACGACGCTGAGCTAAAGTCGCTCGATATATCCGATGCACTTCCGGTTTTGTAGACGTAAAGAATAAATTTCGATACTTAATCTTCGTTTTTTTCTTCGGTATACACTTTTGCGAGGAATGCAGCAAAACGTTTCCGCCAACGTATAGCGACTGCGCACAAAACACAAATCGTTCTTCCACGTGAAGAAGTTGGTGCAACGACAATAATTAATAAATGTCGATCGCAGTGCCTTTTAGGTGTGAAAACTTCGTCGAAACTCATGAGCCGAGGCTCAACGACCTCAGCTTTCGTGTTACGCCAACTTCGAACAGATTCCGCGGAGGTGTCGCGTTACACTCGCGCAGGAGGACATATACGTAGATCGCGTGTATATTAATAAAATAATACGTACGACTTTAGCACTTTAGTGAACGTTAAGGCAAACGTACTGTGCGCGGGAAAAAAAAAAGGTTAAGAGTGCAGAAGCAAGCTAACGAGACTCTTCGAGCAACTGTCTGAAACTTACGTAAAGCCACGCACCGACGAACGACTTTCTTCTCTATCCTCTGTTGCATTTCAACTCACCGACTAATTAGAGAAATTTGAACGATGGCAGCTTCTAAGTGCGAATCTTCACTCGTGTAAAGAGACACTTTCCCCGCGTCCATTAAAACAAAGAGGCAAGCCGTTCTTCAGATCTCTCTCATTCACTATTCTAGCAAAAACTCTCGGCAATCGCAGCACAATGTTTGCGAGCTAACGAGTATAAAATGAGATAACGATTAAGCAATTATAAATTGCATAAAAACCCGACTCTAAATTACAACGTCATTATAAGCACGATATATATTTATTGGCGTTCCACACTGCGTCTGTACGTACATAATCGAAGACACAGTTCTTTAAGCACTGACCTTGTAATTAAGAGTTATTTTCAAACAGAAGAAAACAACGCGTCACTTTTACACATTTACGAAACGCAACCGCACCCACGAAATAAACAAAAAAAACAAACTATGATCGAACCTCCGCAGAAATAAAGAACACGTGGGGCAGGAGATGGATAATTACGCCAAGGTGACCTGGGGGCGGCAGCAGGGCGGTCAGGGACGTACTTTGTGGCAAAGATATATATACATATATATATTCAGTCACACCACACTCGAGATCGCATGCTGTGAGTGTCAGCCTAATTTCTTGTCACTCGTACAAAAACTCGGACTGTCCGATTTGACGACATTCGTATGTAATCGCGTGAAAAACAAACGCGAGACACGAAGTGTACTGAGTATATTGTTCTCAAATCGAGCACTTCCAACGGACTGCGATTGCATCTTATCAGTATTAAATCTCTTCATCTCGATGCCACAAAGAGAAATGAAAATGTTGCGAGCCAAGCGATAGTCGTAAAAAATCGCTTTTGGGACTGTCGCGAATCTCTTATTGAGATTCAAGCTACAGATCTCGTCGAAGTACCGAACCTGATCTCTGATAATGTATCGAATCGATCGTTGTGCGTGAAACGATAATAGAACATTCGCGCTCTCGAAGAGAGTTCTTTTTTTTTACATTCGTAAAAAAAAAGAAACATTCGAGCGACGAATTTTTACGCGATAGATCTTGCTCGAGTCCCGCAAAGTGACACTACGACAGTGCAATTCGACGTTTGTTCAATTCGAATCGAGTTCTCTTCGTGCGCGCGAATGCCTGTTCGAAAAACACATGTTTGCGAGAATCACCGACGAGAGAGAGGAACACACACCTCTCTCGCGCGAACTTTTCAAAGAGTCCGCGTTCTATAAATGTCGGATATCGCTCGTAATATAAACTAAATTACACGATTTTACGACAAATAGGTGCTACGTAGAGATATTCTTCACGAGATCTTTCGCGAGAGAGAGACGACGAAATTTTTGTCGCGCGACAATTTCTGCGATTTCGCACGGTCTGTGTGTAATATCTGTCATAATCGCGCGACTCGACGCGCGCGCGACGCATCAATCACGACGACGATAACATCGGAAATAAAACGTTACCGTCGCGCGTTGTAGTGTTATTCTCTTCTTCTGGAGAGAGAGAGAAGGCCGCGCGTCGAGAGCACGCGATTGCGCCGCGATCTAATAGCGAGATAAAAAAAGAATTGTATCAGAAGCGATTAATCTAGTATTATTAATGTTAAAACCGTGGCTATTATTCCAGACCGTTTAGCGATTAAAAACCGGCGACGACCGTATCGTCTGTACATACACGACATTATAAACGTATACACATACGCACGGAGAATAACGCGTTTGATCATTCGTGCATTTCGCGTACGTGTTTCGCTTACGAGATAAGTGCACGAAAGTACGCACCGCGTGTTCTGCGTGTGTGTGTGTGTATTATACAGAGCTGGCACAAAAAAAAAAGAGAAAAAAAGAAAGAAAGAACCGTTTCAATTAACTCGATCAATTTAGCGCTAGAACGTTCGCGTGCGTTATACATTTGCCTTTCGAGATTACTTCTTCGCCAAATGTGATTTACCGTCAGAGAATCATCGGACTATATGTAGGATATTGTTGCGTACTCCATTATCTCTCATATAACGCGCTTTCGCAAAACCGTTATTACAAATACACGTCGGTGTGTAGCGCTTGTAAACTGCAGATGTTCAAAGATGCAGTTTGACAGATCGGCTGGATAGACTCGGACGTTTTAGCGTTAACTTCTGTTGAAGCAATCGCGAGAAAAAAAAAAAAAAGAAATAACTAGTCTGACCGCGGAACTTCACAATCGCGCGAATCAATCAAGGTATCCTCATGAGTTCCTAGAGTGAAGTTATAATTAGCGATCGCTGTATTATTATATCGTGATTAAGTAAACGCAATTCCGCGAGTTGAAATCTCGCTACGTAGAAATCGTAACGTGCACACTGAAGCCGCGGACATATGTATACACACACATACACACACACTACATATATTCATACAACGCGTACACACAGGAATATAGACGTTTCACGCAGTACTTTTGTACAGACTCTGTATCATACGTTATCGTTCGGTATCTTTAGACTATTTAAGATAAATTTATTCTAATAAGAGACGGTTGTAAGTTGAAAAATTCTTTTGTATAAAACGGCACAAACGCATTTTCTACGGAGAAACGAGGGCTACAGTTCTCAATTCGCAAGCATTGAGTTTCTGTTATTATTATCATTCGCCAATTTGCATCGGCCAAATTGTCGCGCTGATTGATCGCGTTTATTTATTACAAAAAAAAAAACAAAAATTACGGGAAATTTATTAT